TCCCCCCCCGTTATTTTTTTTTTTTTTTTTTTTTGAGAGATTTTTGCTAAAGGGCATGTGCACTCACCAGAAAGACAGAGAGAAAGATAGAATGCGAGAAATCAGCCCCCGGGGTGGGGGGTGGGTGGGTATGGCCACGCCACAATCCCTTCTCCTCCATTCTCCTCTCGGGTTCCTGGGCACACGCACGCACACACACACACACACACACACGCACCCAGCGTGAGTTTAAGCCACCAGGTCCGGGACTCGAACTGCAGTTGGCTACATGGGAGTTCAGCGACAAAGCCATTACACAAACTGGTCCCCCGCCCATTACATTTTTATTTTTTTAAGTTTAGTTTACTCATTTCACGAGAAAGAGAAAGATAACAGGGCCTCACATTGCAATCTGTGCCCCAGCCTTTCCTAGACATTCAGCATGTGGCTTACCTGGCTTTCAGGGCCTGGCCCTGGGAATCAAACCTGCTCTTCCACATGGCTTCCAGCACTGGAGAACACTGCGCTACCAATGCATCACTGCAGCTAGGCTAAACCACTCCTTACCTCTTTGACCTCTTCTACTCTTCTGCCCCCCTAGGCACCAGTGGCCCATCCTCCAGCCTCAGGGCCTTTGTACATGCTGTTCTCTCTGCCTGGCCTACTTCTCCCAGCTGATGTCCACATGGTTCAGTCCCTTACAAACTTCAGTTCTTTGCCGAAATGTCACCTACTCAGTGACACTTTCTCAGAACACTCTGTACGACTATAAACGCCCATCTCTGCCTGTCCATCCTCCTCGCCTGCTTTATTCTCTGTGGTACATATCACTTCCTAGCATACTGTTTGATAAATAAGTACATTCATTTTGTTAATTGTCTGCCATCCCTCCCCGCAAGAATGTAAGTGCTAATGAGGACAGGGATTTTTGTTTGTTTTGTTCTCTGCAGTATCTCCAGATGCAAAACAGGGCCTGGCACACAAAAGCTGCTCTATAAATATTTGCTGAATGAACAAATAAATTCCATTTGCACAGGACCACTGTCACCTTGTGTATAAGGTATATGCATTTGAATAATGGCAAAAAGGAACAATCTCTAATGGTGACTTCCCGCACTGTGACACAGCACACAACAGCAGCAGCTTACTACTTGTAACGATACTATTAATAAGAAAAGGGTAAAGGGTTACTTATAGAGTGTTTCACCTATGCCAATGCTAGGCTAAGAGTCTGACACGCATTGTACCATTTCATTCTTGCCACAACCTTAAACAGTAGATACCACGGCTGTCCCCCATTTTAGCAGTAAGTAAAGAAGAAACAAATGCACAGCAAGGTAAAGTAGCTTATTAGAGGTCAAGCAGCTTAGAGGTAACAGGGTTCGAATACAGGCAGTAGGCATCCAAAACTGACTTCTCACTGACCTGTAATATGTGGGACTGCATTCCCAAAAGGCAAAATGTAAAACTGCAGGAGTGTGGATCCTGGTTCTGCTCCTCCCAGAGACTGCAACACAGCTTGATTCTTATAGGCTATTTCTCTTACATAAGTTACTCAAGCTGGGAGGCAGCTCTGCTTCACGAAGTCAAGTGACCCTGAGTTCTAACAGCTGTAACTGGTTTTGCCTCCCAAACCCACTTCTCTTAACAAGCCCTCCTTCTGAAATCATGAAGAGAAGTGTGTAAGCCCGAGTTGTTCTGTTAAAACCTGCAAGGCCCTCAAGGGCTAGTTTCTGGAGAACTGACTAAGTGAGGGAACTTTGGACCTAAATATTTGCTATGCTGCTCAATAGCTGTATGACCTTGAACAAGAATCTTTTTTTTTAAAGAGAGATTTTCACTACAGGGCGTATTTGCTTGCGGAGAGACAGAAAGAAAGCGAGAAATCACCCCCCCCAGGGGGAATGGCCACACTGCAAACCCTTCTCTTTTCTCCCTTACAGGATCTTGGCCATGCATTTACACATACCCAGCATGAGTTTTAAGTTGCCAGGTCTGAGACTTGAACCACAGTCAAGTAGGTGGGAGTCTAGCAACATAACCATTATGCCATCTGCTGATCCCAAGATAAGTTTTTTTTTTTTTTCTGCCATAGGGTGCGTGCGCTCGTCAGACAGAGAGACAGAGAGACAGAAAGTGAGAAATCACCCCCCCAGGGGGGATGACCATGCCGCAATCCCTTCTCCTCTCAGGATCTTGGGCATGCACGCACACGCGACCGGCATGAGTTTTAAGTCACTGGGTCCGGACGCGAACTGCGGTCGGCTACGTGGGAGTCCAGGGACATAGCCATTACGCTGCTGGTCCCCCCAGGATAAGTCTTTTAACCTCTCTGTGCCTAAATCACAGAATGGGAAAGATTAATTACAAGCACAAAATGAGGTAATCCATGTAAGGCACTTAGCGCAATGCTTGGCATACAGCAAGCTCAAGTTACGTTAGCTTATCATTAAGCCATTAGAATCATGAATGGTGCTTCTTCCTAGCTTCTTAGAACTGCTATAAAACCAATAAACTATCCCACAACAGAACAATGCCAAGGGTTCACAGTTAGGTTATTATGACCTTCTGATTAATTAAAAGGATATAGTGTTGGGATAAGGGCCAGAGATAATGCAACTGGAACTACTCGGGAAGGCCCCAGGTACCCTTCCAGCGGCCTCCTTGTGCACATGTCCAAGATCCCAACTGGCTGAGGGTGCCTGTTCCACTCTGTCTCATGGAAGAAATAAATAAACTCTAACAATAATAATAATGCCAGGATAGTTTATAAACCCCCACCTCAGCATTTTTTTTTTGGAGAGTTTTGTTTGTTTGTTTGTTTGTTTGTTTTTTGCTATAGGGCGTGTGCGCTCGCCAGACAGAGAGACAGAAAGCAAGAAATCACCCCCGGGGGGATGGCCACGCCGCAACCCCTTCTCCTCCATTCTCTCGGGATCTTGGGCACGCACACACACGCGCCCAGCATGAGTTTTAAGTCACCAGGTCTGGGACACGAACCGTGTTTGACTATGTGGAAGTTCAGCAACAGAGCCATTACGCTAACTGCTGGTTCTCCCCCCCCACCTTATAATTTGGTCTAAAGCATAAAAAGTAAAAAGGGATACACCTGTAACTCTAAGCTCTCAATTATTCTAGCTTTCTTCTCTTTGGCTGTAAAATGGAGATAGGATATGCCAACCCCGTTTTTACTTTTTTTTTTTTTTGGAGAGGTTTTCGCTATAGGGCGCGTGCGCTCGCCAGACAGACAGAGCAAGACAGAGAGACAGAAAGCGAGAAATCACCCCCAAGGGGGGATGGTCACGCCGCAATCCCTTCTCCTCCATTCTCCTCTCGGGATCTTGGGCACGCACGCACACGCGCCCGGCATGAGTTTTAAGCCACCGGGTCCGGGACTCGAACCGCAATCGACTACGTAGGAGTCCAGCAACATAGCCATTACGCTAACTGCTGGTTTCCACCAACCCCGTTTTAATGTTTGACACAAACGAATCAGATCATGTGAAAATACCTTGAGAGGACCTGGTGAGAAGAGATCTCCCAGGCAGGGCCAGGTGTGGCACAGCAGTCACACAACAGGACCCACATGGGAAAGGCCGTAGGTTTGCACCCCAAGACCTCCCTAAACACATAGGGCACAGACATACATGTGCCAGGCTAGCTGAGATTAGGGGTGGAACACAGAGCAAACTCTCTTCTGGGGTGCCTGTCTCTCTCTCTCTCATGAAGAAAATAAATTATATTAAAAAAATATATAGGGGGAACCAGCAGTTAGCGTAATGGCTATGTCACTGGACTCCTACGTAGTCGACCGCAGTTCGCATCCAGGACCCGGTGGCTTAAACTCATGCCGGGTGTGTGTGTGTGCGCGTGCCCAAGATTCCGAGAGGAGAATGGAGGAGAAGGGATTGTGGCGTGACCATCCCCCCGGGGGTGATTTCTCCCTTTCTGTCTCTATGTCACTCTCTGTCTGTCTGGCGAGTGCATGCGCCCTATAGCAAAAACCTCTCCAAAAAAAATACAAACCCTAGGAGCCAGTGGGTGGCCTGGTGGTTAAGGTGCTGGACTCCCACATGGCCAATTGCAGTTTAAGTCCCAGACCTTGCAACTTGCTTTCTCACTTTCCCTCTCTGTCTCTGGTGAGCACATGTGCCCTGTAACAAATTAAACAGTAATAATAATGATAACTAAAATTAAATAAGTTTTTTTTTTTAAAAAAAAAAACCTCTCTCAGGCAAATGGCCACGTGACACCCCCTCGCCCGGCCCAACTCAGGACAGCAAAGCAAAATCAGACTTCTGTTCCTGGGCAGGTCAGGGCCTGGCAGAAGCCATGATAAGGTCTGGCAATAAGCAATGACATTTCGCCTTGTTCACATTCCATAAATAAAGTGACCCATGACTAGGCCACAGCTGATTAAAGGTGCCTTTCCATTTCCTTTTGTTTGCCCACAAGATTTCTTTCTCTTTTACATGGCCCCACATCACCCCTGTCAATAACAGTAACTCAGTAAAGGCCAGTTCAGATAAAAACAATTTTAGTATGTTTGTCTAAAGTGGTTTCTGCTGAGCTGTCACAGCTTGCGAAGAAACATACACAGAAAGCTATCTGAAAAATGAGCCTGCCTCATGCCAAACAGCATTTTTATCTCAGATGCTCCTAAAACTCACCAGATCAGCCTCATAAGCTCAAGAGTTTATCACCCGTCTACCGCTGCAGAGACTGTGGAATATCATTTAAAACCCGCCACTTCACACCAGTTTCCCTCATTTCTCTCAGGAGCCACTGTGTGTGCGCGAGGCGGGAGCGAGGACCTTAGGCGTCTGCTCTTTGCAGAAGTCCCCATTTCAGGCTAAACATTCAAAGCTGGGTGAGCATGGGAATTTGCAGAGCTCCAGAGCTGACCTCTGGAAAGCCATTCACTGGAGGGTGTGCTGGAAACGCTGTTCGAAACTGAGGGCTTAAGCCAACGATTAAGCGAGATGGGGGCGGGGAGAGGGGGAGCAGGCAGCTCCTTCTCTCCTTGAGCTGCACACCAGGAAGCTTCGGGAAAGGCACGGATGGCTCTCCGTGCTGCCCTGGAAGGGGCCTGGCCACCTCCTGCAGAATCGCTCCTCGACGCTCTGCCGCCCAGGGCAAGCAGTGCTGCAGGGACAGAACGTTGCTCGCCGGCCGCCCGGGCCTGCGCTGCTGCAGGCAGGAGGCGGAGGCTCGGTGACTCTGGCGAGCAAGACGCCCGCGGTTCCAGGCCCACGCGTGGCCAGCCTCCCGCAGGCGGACTGGCCGTCGGGTTATAAATAGCGCGGCGCAGAGCGGCTGGCGAGAAAGCGGGGGGTGGCAGCTTACT